TACACATTATTTCACTCATTAGAGTTCAATATCTCTGAGGTAGAATAAGATAAGAGCCATGGAGTGTTGTTAAGGGAACTCTGGTTTTTATTGAACAATAAAGAAGTGGTTTAGCTTATTGATAACTCAAGCTTCCCACAGGCAGCATAATCTTGATTGTCAAGATGTGTCTGGTTTGTGGTTGTTGTTTGTTCTTATTTTGCATGAATAAGTGTGTGTCTGCCTGTTATATTAAAGCTCTTAATTTCTGTGTTACTGAATACTTCACACTTTCACAAGAGCATGATTCCTGGGTTGGGATCACCTCTCAGTTCTAAGCTTCCAGATGTTAACAGAGGCAAAGCACAAGGTGGAAGAGTTCCCATGTTTCTAAGTGAAATGAGGCAGAACAAATCAAAGAGGAGCCCTTGGCTTGGGCAGAGAACGGAAAGTGTACATTACTAAGAGGTATAGCCGTGTCTGTGCAAATGCAGTAATTCATGTCAAATATATTGTACTTTTTGCAGGAAAGACCTTTAGCTCAGGGTTTTCTAAGCTAAATTGCATGAAAACACACAATCCTTTTTCTTCTTATTTGGACTGTTAGATGACGGGGCCAAATTACCAGAAAGACCAAAGGCAGTTTGCAGCCTTTAACAACTGAAAGGACTTACTGCTTCCAATTTGGAAACACAATGAATTCTGTGTCTTCTCCAAGTACTCCTAGGTCCTATGCATTTCCCATTATATCTGTGCATAAAGAAAGTCCATAAGTATAGTATATCAAAGTCTCTGATATTTCAGAAATGGAGAATATGTTGTCCAAAGATATGTAAGAGTAACTTTCGACAGGACTTGAAAAAAAATGGACTATTCTTAATTCTCTCTCTGGCCAAATGTAGTTCTACTGTCCTTGGCTTCTTAGTGTCACTCAGTCCTATTGGACTGGCAGGAGTTATTTTACAGATCCAATCAAAAGCCATTAAGCCTGTAAAGGCAGTCAAGCACTGTTCTCCAGCTGCAATGGAGAACCCAAGGGAGGTAATGCATCTATTTTTCAATACCTGAGGCCATTTTGTTTCCAACCTTAATTGCACTTATGTATTGGTTTGGAGTAAAATATCTGCACTCATCTTGCTCCTATTTCCTCTATTCCACTATTAATACAGAGCTTAGCAAACATAATTGCAGTGTGTGGTAGACAGCAATTTTCATTAACTGCACAGAAGAACACTGTTTAGGGAGAGACATTTCTTCCCTATTGATTCAATCAAAATGACTTGGAAGAAAAGGTTGTGCTTATTAAATTCTTTTCAAATAAGTAACTTAGAATTCTTTCTCAACAGTATTTAAAAAAAGTAGTATATAATCTCTTCTGATTTTGTCATTTATGAATTTTTGTACTGCCCAATTCCTTTGAAATGTGTAACTTCTATTGACCTTTTAAAAAAGGAAGTGGAGGAGAGACTTTTACTTAGAGGTAGAGAATGTAATCAACTATGTTCTCTGTAGGACATGGAGTTGCCTAGCAATGCCAGGGGAATTAAAAGGGGAAAATAGTAACAAAACAGAATGTTGAGAAATTACAAGTGGGTATACTATTAAATTGGCCTGAAATACTTATCAAAAGACTTTTAAATGAGAATGGATATAAGATTCTCTAGCAGTGGTATAAAAAATGGCTGATCATTTTTCAATGATTCTTTCTTTCATTTGGAGCAGTCTACCCAATGGGATTCTGCTATTTTGAGTTCATGATTAGACAAAATCTAGGACAGAGACATCTGAGACTACATCATACAGCTCCACTGAGCCACTGGTATTTGAATCCTTTTTAGATGGACTAATTGAGTATAATATATTTAAACCTTTCATATTCTACCATAATTTTGTAGAATTTCATGGTACATGTGATTATATTTTCTACCCTTTCCCAAATTTCAGAAACCTCCTATGAATTTTTCAAGCTAAATGAGGCTGCTATTGTCTCTGATTCAACCTCTCTCAACACCATGTTTATTGACCTAGGTCTCTCCTAGATTCCAAGCTTGGGAGCACAAAATAAGAAACTTGCCTGACATCAAGACTTAAGTTGTTTTCCTTTTTTTCCTTGATTATGCCAAATCCTTCTCCAAGAAGAAAACTATGTCTACAATCCTAGAAATGTCTCTACATCTTTGAGTGTTATAAACTTTGTCTAACAATGCAAGAAACATGACCTAGAATAAGGGATTGACCCCTACAGAAATAGCAGAGTTGCTCAGGAATAACAAATTTCAATGGAGTATATGTAGGGTTCTACACATTCAGGATTGAAACTGTAAACAAATTCATGATGGGAAGTGATGAACCATGGTGGAATCCATCCTTGTCTCAGCAAAAGAACGTGTGCATGTTTTGATTGGCAGGGAGAACACATGGATCTGAGGGCAAAGTGGCTTGTATTGGGGAAGAAGATACCTGAGGTAGATATGCAGGTAGTAGATAACAGAAGAAGATATGGTTCTAATTGTGCATTGTACTAGTTGTACCTCTTGGATCTTAGAATTTTTAATGTATAAAATATGGCTGTTAGATTATCTGCAAAATCCCTTCAAGTTCTCACATTTAGATTCCAGAATTCAAAGCAGATTATGTCTGAAGAACATTTCCAAGACAGACCCCCTGTATCCCTCTCCTCATACTACTGACATTCCAACCTAGAATGAATAAGGAATTGTGATAAGAGGTTTTAGGTATTTCTCTACCTTTTGAAGTTCTGCCATTTTTACTGCAACCCTAAGTTAGTTCACAACTGTATAATGATGAGTACTGGGTGTGTGTGTGTGTGTGTGTAATGTTTAATTCTTTATCCCTTTCTTTACCAATTCCTAGGCAGAGATAGAATACTACCTGAAGATCTTTTTGAGCTGATTTCTCTTTTGCTTTGGAACACAATGTACTCTAGTCACTTCTTTGTTGGATACAGATCTTCCTCCCCCTGGCTCCTGAAGACATGCCTCCAGATGCTTTTTTTTTTTCATATGACCCCTTCTTTTTTAACAACTCCTCCATCTCCACAGATTTATTCTTTACTGATAACCAAGTGTACTCTTCTATCATGGAATTCAGCCAAGTTTCAGATCTATGTCTCTTCATTAGATCCCATAAACACTAAATTCAAGTTGCCCAAATGATGATCTGAGATTTTTCTCCTTCTTTATGCTATTTGTATTAATTGCACTACTTTTTCAGTAAAAGGTTGAATTTTTACTCTTCTATCTTTTTCATTCTGTCAGCTATAAAGTCCTATATTATGAAATGGCCAACATTAATATTTATTAAAGTACTTATTATACTTGACATCTAGTTCTTATTTCTGTGGTCATTATTCCAGAGCCATACTGCCCTTTTTCTCTACTGAATTACCCAGTGTCTCCCATTCTTCCTTCTCCTAAGCATTCCAAAGCCTTCTGCCAGGTTCATCCTTTGAAGCACAACTCCAACAATTGTACTCCCACATACCAACATAGTCAATACTGCTACCACCAACCCATCCACAGAATTCAGTAAAGAACTCTTCACTTTGGCACTGAGGCCTTCCTGATTGAACTAAATGTTATAGTTATCAGCAGCCATACTGCTACATTCCTTTTATATCTCAATCAAACCAGCCCTATTGCTGAACACATATGAAGCTTTCTTTCATTAGCTAATGTTTGTGGGCTTTCAACCACCAAGTCTCCTCTCCCTTCCACAGAGTGCAGTATCAGATATGCCTATTTGGGTTCCATATCTATCAATGTCCCTTTCAAATGCTATCACTTTCATCTTTCCCAACAGTCCTGTTAGGACATGACCTTTTCTATTAGTCCTCCACAGTATCATACACCTCACTTCAAACATCCTAACTGCATTTATACTACATTCATTGGAATACTTGTCTTATTACTTTGTATAGATTTAAAGCCCCCCTATATGAGTTCTATCTTGCCTATCTTTGAATACTATGGAAAGGCCTAGCATAGTATATTATCTTTGGGATAGTGTTAATACATTTACCTCACTTGAAACTTTCTAAGGTTTTCTGACTTTTTTCAAAGTCTAACATCTAGTGAATTGACCAAATCAGGACTAATCAAATCAACAATGAAGGGTGAGATCAGATTGGATCTAGTTTGAGGAACCAAAGTTCAAAAACATAAACTCTTTTTGTTATGGGCTAAAATGTTATATTTTGAAGGTTTTTGAGTAGAAAGGTCTTACACTGAGATACAGCACAAACATTTATTTTACTTAATTTCTTTGAGCCTCAATTTTCTTATCTGTAAGAAGACTATAATAGTTTTATTTAATGGGCTGCCGGAAAGACTGAGTGAATTAATGTCTGGCAAATGTTTAGATAAGGCCTTGTACATCATGAGAGCTAAATAAACCGTAGCTGGTGGTCCTAATTCTCATCATCACTTCTTATCAGCCAAATTAGTCAAACTAATAATAAAGGTAGCCCTGAAATTCTTTCACATTGGAGATCCTGCTAGAATATGGTGATCTATTTTAGAATATGGTGTCACTATACAATAATCAAAAAAAAATTCAAGATGATTCAAGAAACCATCAGCTGTGGAGAATAAAGCACACAAGGGTAACATCTAGATGAAGAGATTAAAGCAATTGAAATAATGCTGCTTGAGATGGTCTTTGATGAAAGATTTAGTATTTGACTCAAAAATATTTAGTATTTAGATAATGAAAACACACCTGTATGGTTTTATTTCCAAGGAGAATATTAGCTGCCATACAATGTTAAGTGCTTAAAGTTACATAGAGCAAGAAATATCCTTCTATACTATGTGGAGTAGACTACCAACAGAGCTGTAGGGTCATTTAAAGATAAGATTGCATCTTATATGCCTAGGATGATACAGCTATAACCTCATTTAAATATGGTGATGGCAAGTGGTTTCCAGCCTTTCCCAGACAGGTCAGAAACTGGGGAGCTACCACTGCTTTTGTTGACTGCTCTCTGCTCCTCCTCTTACCTGAACTCTCATCCAGACTCTCCTCAGAGACATGCTCATTCTGATGGACCCATTCACCATTGCATTTGAAGAAGATCTGCATGGCTGGTCTTGCTTTGCACCTGAGGGCAATAGGGTTACTCTTGATGATGTAAGCATCATCTGGCTCCTCTATGAAGTGTGGCAGTGTCCCTGGAGCTGATGGGATGGACTCAGGAAGAGCTTCTCCATTGTCGGTTCCTGTGAAATGGAAGAGGACATCAGAACAGAGCCTACACCTATGACTCATAAATCAGAACACAATCCCAAACTCACACTAAGAATCCAAGCAAGAAAATTCTTTGTCATGTTAATGAAGCATGCTTGTAAAATCTGTGAAGAGGAGGAATTGTTTTCTTGAAGCCAAACTTGCATAATATGGATCCTCCAGGGGGACACACCTTTGGTTTGTTTGACAAATGAAAATAATGAATATGAGACCCTTTAGACTTAGTTTGAATCTGAGTATCTGTGGGGCTGAATGAATGGAGAGAATAGATGTGGTTCTCCCATAGACGTGGTGTTCAGTCATAGATAGTCACCAAAGCTCCCAATTGTTTTGTTTGTTTGTTTGTTTTTAACCTACAAAATTGGAGATTGGCATTCTACTTTTGACAATTCACCAATTTACCATCCCTAAAAAGGAATAGGAGCTCCTTCCTTTTGGCTCACTCACTTTTCCATTGTATGCTATGGATTACACTACCAAGACTGAGAATGAATCACTACTGTAACTCTGAGAGCACAGTGTGAAGCTAGAATGACATCTGCTCAAAGGGAAAGAATAGTTAGGGTACTCCCCTATCCTAAGGGAACTGATGAAACATTTAAAAAAGAAAAAGTCAGAGCAAAGAATGTGCTTCTCTGCCTCTTTCTACATTTAGCAAAGTCTTAGGTCCTGAAAAAATACCACAATATCAAAGGGCTACGAGGTGTGAATGCTGAGCAAGCAAGACATGGCTGGATGGAGAGGGATTTTGTGAATTCCAAAGACCATTCCACTGAAAGAACAAAGAAAGCATAGGTTTCAATATCAAGATCAAGGATGACCTGAAAAGGGTTGTTCCCATTGGGATAAAAGAGGACTTTAAGACTGAACTGAGGAAAAAGAAGTCCTGAACAATTAAAGAGCAATTCTACCCATGAGATGCAACTCCAGGGAGATAGACTGGGGATGGGGGAGGGGAAACCGACAGCCTAGTCTGGCTTTCTATATACCATCAATTTTGAACAGAGCTTCTTTTTCTTATTCACCCCTAAGTCAACAACCCAAATCAGTAAGCATTGTCAAAGGTAAACAAAATGATTAACAGTAGAGATGTTTGTTTTAAGAAACTTGAAGAGGAATTCTCAGATATTAAAAAAAAAAAAACATGAAGTAGGGAGAGGAACAGACAACAAAGTATTTTATATAAGGAAGAAAATAAAAGACAGTGAGTAATGAGAATGAATCCTTACCACTGTGAATAGCAAGATCTGCCACTGCAAGGAATTAAGCACAATAGCAGCTTGATTCTCCTGAACAAGACTGTTTTTCTGTTAAATACATCAAGTTATTGAGGAAAGCCAGTCTCATCATATAACAAAGAGCATAAGGTATGATAAGCATTGCACAATGTTAATGGAAAAGCTAACCAGGTGTAAGCCATTGGAAGTATCAAAACCATCACAAAACAGGTACTTTAAAAAGTAAGGGCAAACAGTTTATTTCATGGCATCTATGACAAAGTCACTCAGATTAATAAAATGTGTATATGTCATAGGGAGTAAGCAGTTTCAGGACAGAATCTTACGTGTGTATGTATGTATGTGTGTGTTTAATGTACTAAATTATATTTACAGTGGACTTCATAAAACATTTTCAGATATTAACTTATTTTACTACTGACTGCTCATGTCAATTTCCATCTTCAATAAATACCATGTCCCTAAAGGATTTTGTAAATCCATGCATTAGAGGAAATGACAAAGGTATTAAAAGATTTTATATGGACCATAAATGCTCACACTCTGTCTAGAGTAATTCATCATTGCATAAAAGGGTCACCTGATAAAGAATACAGTCTTCCCAAACCTGGCGATAGTCTGAGTGAACAGGCACAGATATACATTTTGATTGATGCCTTTTTGCTTCACTGGCAAAATGTATGACCCTGTCTGAAGTAACCAAGTGACATGGGGGAGGGGCTGGAGAGGGAGCTAGCCACAAGTTCTATGTAAACAGCGAGACCGTACTTATCTGTTATAAAATGTCAAAAATTAAAGGCAGGAGATTATACAATAAATCAAGTTTTCACTGACTCACAAAGCATAGGGAGATCTAAAAGAAATTAAGTTTCCTTCCTGCCATTTTAACAAATGCTCTTAAAATAAAGAAACCAGTTCAGCCTGTATCACAAACACAGAGCAGGAGTGTGGAATGAAAAGAAGTCAGAGGGTAAATGTCCTGGCTGTCCAACGACCTCCCTTAAGAATCAATCTCATGTCAGGAGCTGGTGGCTCACGCCTGTAATCCTAACTACTCAGGAGGCAGATAGTAGGAGGACCATGATCGGTTGGCAGCCAGCCCGGGCAAATAGTTTGAGAGACCCTATCTCTTTTTTTTTTTTTGGCAGCACTGGGGTTTGAACTCAGGGCCTCACACTTGCTAGGCAGTCACTCTTATGGTTTGAGCCACTCCACCATGAGAGAGAGAGACCCTATCTCAAAGTCCTTCACACTCAAAAAAAATCGATCTCACAATAGCCAAGTTTTGGAATAAACCTAGGTGCCCATCAAGGAATGAATGGATACAGAAAATGTGGCGCATATACACAATGTCAGTCATAAAGAGAAACGAAAGCATGTGCTTTGCGGGAAAATGGATGTAAGCAAAATAAGCCAGACTCAGAAACACAGATACCACGTGTTTTCTCATATGTGGTTTCTAGATTAAAGAACAAAAGATAAGGAAGAAGAAGGGGGACTACTTGAGGGGAGAAAGGGGACAAAGAGGAGGTACGCAGTGTTGAGAAAGGGCAATGGAAGTGAATATAATCAAGGTATTATATTCACTCTTATGAATATGAACTCATGTTGTACAGTGTACCCTAACTTTAAAAAAAAAAATCACTGTTCAGGAGAGAAAAAGGGTACCATGTAACATTGTCTTAATTATTACTGAAACAATGCCAAAATCATGCACTCACACAAGCAAACAAGCCAACAAAAAAAACAGGTTGCGATCCATAAAAATGAGAAACAGGAACAAGTGATTTCTTAGCCGGAAGGTGAGAGATCGTAGGTGCGCATTTGTGCACATTACCATTTTCCTGCAGCCTTCCAACAAACAAATGAGAGACGTGGAAATGGAGTAGGAGTTAGTTCCCTTTGTTTTGGCTTTGTGCAGTGAAGAGTTGGGAGTGATGTTTGAGCTACCTACCCCTTACTTCCCTCCTCCCCATGCCCAGTTCCTCCCTGGGTCAGGCTCTGGTCCTCGGAGGGCAGCCCCTGCTATGGGGCTGGCCTCTTCACAGGCAGAAGGCTGGCACCCCATCAGGTGCTTTTCCAAGAGGACACCCTTCCTGCCCTACAGTTCCAGGACACCTTCCCCACTGCGCACACTCACTGTGCTCAGCCCTACCCAGTGGCTGGAACTGAAATCCTCAGGAAAGTTTCAAGGAAGAGGGAACTATTTTCAGGGCTTCGAAGTTGCTGGTGGATTCTGTTCTGGAGGGGCAAGGGGAAAGTCATTTACTGTAATAAATAATTTATGGAAGCCTGCATGAATGCCTTTTTGCTTCAAGGTAAATTTGCTTGTAATCTCAGTACATTTTCTGCCACTTTATATTTCAGAGAAAAAATGTTAAGGTCTGCTGTGATAAATGCTGGAGACAAATGCCAGCCAACTGTCTTCCTCTACATCACTTTCATAGTAATAGACTGGAAAAGTCATGGGTCTCAGGTGACACTCTGGAGGGTGGGCATGATAAAGTGACATTGGTCTAGCCAGGGATTCATAAACAGACACTTCTTCAAAAGCTTTTATCTTATGAGTAAAAATGTGGCTGGTACCATCCCCTCTCTTCTTTCCCTCAGTTGGGGAAGACCATGAGGAAAAATTGAAGAGGAACACAGAATCCTCACAATGACATGGCTGACACCCCTGACCAATACCAGGAGACACCCACCCCAAGATATCAGGTGTATCTTTTTAAAAGTCTCTACTTATTTACAGCTACGGATAGTCAGCTTTTCTGTTATCTATGGCAGAAAATATTCCTTATTGATACAGTTGAATCGTCCCTCTTAAAAAAACAAAACAAAACAAAACAGAGTTCCAGACTTCCCTTTATAATTCTCAGTGCCATCAGCAGTTAAGGGAAGAGTATTGGTGAGCTAAGAAATGTGACAATTATGTTAGTAGAAAGCAAAAATAAGAGCTGCCATTTACTGCATGATACAGGTTATGGTAATAAGCCTTCTGCTTGGATTAAATCATTTAAGCTTCATGACAGTTCTCCCAGGTGGGTCCTATGTGCACAAAGTATCCCATTTTGCATTTGAAGAAATGCTTGGATTACATTTCTTGTGTAAGGCCATACAGCTGTAAATGGTGGACTCAGAATCTGAACACAGGAGCTAGCTCACAATTCCATTTCAGTTCAGATGACCGAACACTTGCAAGTTTGATACTGTCACTTAGTGAGTACCTGCCTAAAGGGAATAGTTTGCAGTTCATAAAAGCTAAAGGAGCTGATACAAAAGGACACATTATCTGTGTGGCAACCTCATCATTTCCATTAAGAATGATGTTTATCTTAAAGATCATTCAAGTTATCCTACCAGCTGGACTGTGAATGCAAGGATGGCTGCTAGAGACACATCCCCGAGAAGGTCTTCAGAAAACAAAAATTTTGGGGAGAACAGTAGGTACTCATCCCACCATACATGACTAAAGAGGCATCCCCACCTAAGTTAGAAATAAAGAAGTCAGGGGCTGTAGCTCAGTGGTAAAGCACTTGCCTGGCATGGACAGGGTCCTGCATCCCATCTCCAGCAGGTATCTTTTCCTCTTCCCCTCCAGAAAAGTAAATGTTTGCCCTTTGAGAATAAAATGATGAAAAGAACTTTGCGCTGTGTCCTTTGCAAACAAATATTCCCTTCTAAGTAGGAATATTTAACAACCAAAGCTCCAATTCAAACACAAGGGTTATAAGGAAAGACATTGCCAATTCTATTAGCTTTAACCACCCCAAAATGCTGACGCTTGACAGTTTGACATGTTAAATTCATGATGGGATCAGGTATACTGCCGGCCAAAGTTATTCCAAACTGGGATTCATAACATCCTGGATTATCACTCATGGAGTTATAGTATAAATTGAGCTTCAAGAGGTTTTGAGAAATTCTAAATAATTCATAGATCTTTTTCTGGAGAGGACATTACACTTAAATATCTTTCATATTTTTCTCTTAGCTCAAAAGTATGCTTTTTTTTTTTTGCGTTGCTAAGGCTTGAACTTGAACACAGGGCCTTGGACTTGCTAGGCAAACACTGACTTTTTATCCATGCTGTCTTCAAACTGCATTTCTCCCATCTCTACCTCCCAAGTAGCTGGGATTATAGGTATGTACCACCATCTTGGCCCTATGCATCTTTTCACTTCATTGGTATTTGTTTCATAGTGCAACTACTGATCCTATCATAAGGCAAAGACTAAATCCAGTGGGAAAAAAGAGAACTGCAGATCAAATCACCTCAGCAGTTCTGGGTTGACTCTGTGGCCTTGCATGTGCCATTTCGCTCTGAGGTTCTATTTTTCTCATGCATAAAAATGGATGATTAAAATCTCTTAGTGTTTTGTGATAGTAAAATACTAACATGTAAGAAATACAGTAAATGATTCAATGTTTTGTAAATATTATGTCACCACTACCACCACCATCATAAATAATGGCATGAATGGGAAAGAGAATTAAAATTACAATCTCTATGATTTCAGCTCCCCAACTTATTGACCTAATACTTATTTCAATTTTATGAATACTACTGCCATTTTCATCTGAGAGTGCTCACGATACAAACTGTTGCTTATATCATTTCTTTACTGTCTGTGCCCCAGATGTATGTTAGTAAAATTCTTATACGTAAGACACCTGCAG